AATAACTCTATATATATATAATATAATATAATAATTATATATATTATATAATTATAATTATAATATTATATTATATATTATATTTCAATTCAGAAACGGACAGAACTTTCCGGTAGACTTAATAAATTGAAAATAAACGTTCACGATCATCGTCACAGCCATTGTATCTCTCGATAATATCAACGAATCGGCCTTCGTATCTTCCGTCCGGAGAGTTGCTACACTTCCAGGTGATTATACCTTGAAACAATACTTTTCTCTCGATCGAGATTCGCCGGTGGCAATGGTTTCGCCGGTAACGATCACGGATCCAGAAATAGTCACGACCCACGATGCATAACAAGAACACGGAAGCGACTGTTTGATCGGCGCGAGGCAAATCGCGCGCAACTCCGCTTCTCCTCGGTGCTTTATCTCGCGGCTAATGCCCAGAGAATCGGACCACCCGGTATTAATTGCGCTTTGTTTGAATTGTCGTTGAAACTGCCGCGACTGCCACCGACAAATACCGGCGGCCGGGTTCGTAACGAGCAGACATTGTTTGAGAGGTGCAATTCCCGGAGGGCACGGTCCCTCGTTTAAAGAGCGCCACCAACGACAAAGAAACTTTTCCGCTCGCGCGAGCCCGCCGTTAAATTCTTAATAAGCGGTGATTAGCGCAGTACGTCGCGGAATCGGGTAAATTCTCGAGCAATGTTTAACGGCGGTGCTCTGTAAACATCCGCGGTAACTGCGAATCGTACTTTCGAATCGACAATTTGTCCGATCGATAACGCATGTATCTTTAACGATTTCGAGAAAGCCCGTTTGAATTTGAATTTGCGAGGGAATTGTTGTGTGTTCAGTTTCTGAAAACTGTTTACCATCGTTCGGTAAGTTTATCGATTATAGGTAACGCGAGGTTTGTATCTGAACTGTTTGCTTCTGTTTTATAAAATTTTTTTATTTTTTTTATTGTGTTCCATATCTTTCCATTTAATTTTGGATTATAAATCTTGAAACGCGCGGTGAGTCGATTGGATAACGCGATTCTTTAATTCATTGTTTAGCAGAATATATAAATGTGTAGGGTTCCTTTGGTGTTTTACCGACGAACGGTAAGTGGGAAATTGAGAAATTCTGTGTTACCGACGATAGTGCATCCTCGAATGCAGAATGCAGAGAATGCAGTTTGGAGGAAGCTACTATATCGACAGTAGATGTGTGACTTTGTACTATCAAGCGCAGATGTCGCGATGATCCTAAATTTAAACTAAATTTGAAAATAGTTAATTGTCATATTTATGTAACTGCTGTGAGAAATATTTATATCTATAATATAATTTAATTAATATAATATAATTTATATGTATAATAATTAATAACAATAATAATCAAATAATTAATTATAATAAATAATTTATATATATAATATAATTTATGTCTATTTAACTGTATAAAATGAAATAATACGCTCCAAGTTTTAGCTTGGTGGAAATAATAATATAATTTCAGATTGAGTTTCTACTGTACACAAAATAACAATACGCTATTTTTATATGTTTTTGCCTTTTTTATTTTTTTTTATGTGGAAATCTTGCAAAGAGTTATAATGTATTCATAATAACTCAGCTGCTC